AATGGGTGTATAGCAAATGTGGTGAAGAAAGCTGATGGTGCCCGGCTATCAAAAGATATAGTGTCTGGGGTCTTAAAGGCTTGAAGATGAACAAGAGACTGTCTAGCTGAGAAGCAACAAAGCCCACATGGAAGAAGCACACCAGCCTGGGTGATCATGAGATGGCGATGGAATCAGGTATCAGGCATCAAAGACCCAGAACAAAAAATCATACCAATGTGAATGAGGGGGAGCATGGAGTAGAGACCCAAACCCCATCTGTAGATAATTGGACATCCCCTTACAGAAGTGTCACAATGAAGAGATGAGCCAATCAGGGTGCAGTATAGCACCAACGAAACACAACTTTCCTCTAGTTCTTTAATATTTCCTCCCCACCACTATCATGACCTCAGTTCTACCTTACAAATACGGCTAGACCAGAGCATGTACACGGGTACAGATAAGAGCTGGAAACACAAGGATTCCAGGACAGATAAACCCCTCAGGACCAATAATGAGAATAGCAATACCAGAAGGGGAAGGTGGGGAGGGGAGAAAGGGGAAACTGATCACAATGGTCTACATATAACAGAAAAGTGGGACAGACAACAGAAAAGTGGGTGAAGGGAGACAATGGTCAGTGTAAGACATGAAAAAAATAATTATTTATAAATTATCAAGGGTTCATGGAGAAGGGAGGGCAGGAGGGAGGGCCCAAAAATGAGAAGCTGATACCAAGGGCTCAAGTAGAAAGAAACTGTTTTGAAAATGATGGCAACATATGTACAAATGTGCCTGACACAATGGATGGATGGATGGATTGTGATAAGAGCTGTAAGAGCCCCAAGGATATTATATACATACACACACACACACACACACACACACATATATATCGTGCATGTGGGAAAAATGGTCTGAGTTGAATACCAAAACCAAGACCAGGGAGGGAGGCCAGAATGAGTTTCCATAGTTAATTCTTGATTATGCTTAGTAGGGAAGGATAATCAAAACAGGATAATGCAAAAAGTCCTTTATTTTACCTGCTTAAGAATGAACAGAAAGGTCCTTACACTCACCTGACTTGTTCTGGCCTTAAAATCAATGTTGTGCTTCGTTTTAGTAAGGTAAGGACTGTTGGTGGCACATTTGATTAAGCTTTAGGCTGCTAACTGTGAGGTTGGTAGTTCAAACTCAACAACCACTCCAAGAGAGAAAGATGTGACTGTCTGTTTCCATAAAGATGTATAGTCTTGGAAACCCTAAGGGGCAGTTCTTTTCTGTTCTATAGGCTCACTATAAGTTGAAATCAACCCGCTCAAGGGACATAGGTTTGGTTTTGAGGTTGTTTAAGTTAGGGATCTAGAAACAGTGGAAGGAAGCTCTTAGAAACTGATAATAATTCAAAATCTGATGACAGTTTATTTAAACAAGAAGAATTTTAAGTTGGTCTCAGGCAAAATTTGCACACACACAAAAAGCATTGGCCCTTCTAAAGCGTTGACATGATTGTACTTTCTTCTTTCAGCCGCTGTTGGGTTTTTGACAGTGTCTAGTGTCATCACCATGTCTGCCCCTTTCTTCCTGGGGAAGATCATCGATGTTATTTATACAGACCCCACTGTGGACTATACCAGCAACCTGACCAGCCTCTGCCTGGTGCTCAGTGGTGTGTTTCTCTGCGGAGCTGCTGCGAATGCCATCCGTGTCTACCTCATGCAGACTGCAGGTAAAGGGCCTTCCTTCCGTCTTGGCAATACGCCCCACCCACCCCTACTCCCCGCAAATGCCTGGGGTTCCTGTGGATTTGCTCGGACCTCCAGTGTTGTGTGCTACACGGCTCTTGCTGCTCCCAGCCTCAGCCTTTTCCTGCCCAGGCATCACATTCAGGAGGACAGATCCTGATCCTGGAGTTATGGGGTGTTTTACATGAGGCACTCGTATCAATAGCTAAGGGAGTAAAAGACGAGGCTCTCCACTCCCATACAGAGTTACAGTCTCAGAAACCCGCAGGGCCAGTTCCACCCTGCCCTGTATGGTCGCTATGAAGCAGAATCGACTCAATGGCAGTGGACATCTTATGGCAAGATGATGGACACAATGGCTTCCAACAATGGACTCAAGCATTAAAAACAACCGAGCATGGCACAAACGGGGTGGTATTTTGTTCTGTTGTACATAGGGTCACTATGAGTCAGAACCATCTGGATGGCACCTAACCACTACAACATCTTATGGGCGCCTTGGTAGTATGGTGGGTTACACGTTGTGCTGCTAACCGCATGGTCAGCAGTTCAAACCCAGCAGCTGTGTGAGAAAGAAAAGGCTCTGTGTCCCCATAAAAAATAGACAGCCTGGGAAACCCGACGGAGTGGTTCTACTTTGCTCTGTGGGGTCACTCTCAGTCAGAATCAACTCAACTGCATTGAGTTTGGGGTTTTTGGTTACGTCATGGGAGGTGTGAGGGCAGTGCTCATTCATGAGGATGGAGTCGGGAGACCTTCAAAGAGCTACAGGTAGGTGCTCATGGTCCCCCCGTGCATTTGTTTCTTTCAGCACAAACTGGGCTGATCAATTTTATAATATATTCATGTAGAAGGTTCCGGTATTCAACGCAGATCTTATTTTTCCTATATCCATGCAATATATTATTATTCCTTATAGCCTCACCGTCCCATAGCTCAACTATTAACTAGTTGTTAATGACATAAGTCACCATCACAATAATGATAAAGCCCGGGGAACCAAACTGTAAGTCTGTTGCTCACTATTTAGCTAATAAAATGCTCCGTAGATCATTAACCAGTCCTTGCCATTTGAAGGTTCATTACAGAAAAGGGTTACCAAGGAGGCACAAAAGCTTTTGAGAAGTTAATGAATCTAGCAAAACTTGAGTGTAAATAAAAAATTTTAAAACCTCTCAGTCATGTTCTATTTATCACTAGCTCCTGTTTCCATCTGGAAACTGTGGTTTCTAAGAGAAAAATAAATACTCTGTTTTAATATGACTATTCACGTACCAGTGCTGAGACAAAGTTCATGTCCACGCGTATGAGATGATGCCCTCCAGATGGCTCAGTGGACTGGAGGACTTAGGTTTTATGACACCAGGCCAAACTGCTGCAGACCAACACTTGCTCTTCATGGGTACCAATCGCTGCATCCTTTTAATGCCATTCCATCTTGCATTTGTAGGTCAACGCATTGTGAATCAGTTGAGAACTTCGTTGTTCTCCTCTGTTCTGAGGCAAGAGGTTGCTTTCTTTGACAAGACTCGCACAGGCGAATTGATTAACCGACTCTCCTCAGACACTGCACTGCTGGGGCGTTCCGTAACTGAAAACCTCTCTGATGGACTCCGGGCTGGGGCCCAGGCTTCTGTTGGCATTGGCATGATGGTATGTTGGCTCATTTTTCCTTTGGTGCCTTCTGGCTGAGGCTTCAGCCCCTCAAGCAGGAGGGGAGCTTCTGGTGGTCTCCCCACAATTCTGTGAGCATGGCAGAGCCAGGATCATGGCCTCACGCCACGGAGATCACTTTCCTCTCTAGGCCGGGCCTGCTGTATCTAGTGGAGATGTCAATCAACCAACCCCACTGAAAGACCACTCTAATGACCCTTCAACTTGATATTGTTCTAGGCCTTCAGCCTTCCTTCACCTGTTTATCATAAGCTATGGGGTTTTTGACTTCTCTGCCATCTTGATCATCCCGTGGGACATGTTGCTCTGATTGTTCAGTGCTCCTGAGGTCATCCAGAACTGAATACAGGTCAATAGTTCAAGCCTACCAACAACTCTACAGGAGAAGGATGAGGCTGGCCCCCTCTTTATTAAGATTTACAGTCTCGGAAACCCTAAGGACAGTTCCTCTCTGACTTACTGGGTTGCTGTAGTTGGAGTCAGCTTGGTGTAATGCCTTAGTCCCTGACTTATGACTTAATAGAGTTGTCGATTATATATATTTGTTGTACACCTTATTTTTAGTAATATGTACTACATACATTGTTGTGACATGTAGTTTATTGATATTATCCTTTCTGGATGTTTACTTGCAAATATTACCATTTAGAAGGCTATGAAAAGTAAAGGGAAAAAACAAAATATTTGACTTAAATAAAACCTGACTTTGGACAGACACTGGAATGGAACCCTGTTTTAAATCGAGGGCTGCCTACACAAAATGCCTGGGCTCCTCCTTATCTATTGTAGGAAAACCCTGGCCTAATGTGGGCAGCATTAATCCAATGGTACACGATTTTTACAATTTCTTCAGAAACTCTCCATCGGATGAATATTCATGGAGCAGTAAAGATGAGGTGTTTGAATAGTGGTACCAAGAACCTGCTGTACACGTTAATGGGAATAGTATGTTGATTAAGGATGAGTCTACACAACTGCTTATTGTAATTGTGTCAATAAATTGTATACTTGTATAAAGTTAAATAAGCAAAAGTTATGTGATAGATACATTTACAACACTGACTGAAAAAAAATTAGCTGCTGAGCCTGCTTTTGTACAACCAAAAACCTCATCAGATTTGGTTTCTTGGTTTGGAGGTTCAGGGACAAGGTGTCACAGGGCATCCCAGTTGATTGGCCTAATGACCTATTTAGTGTTTCTGGTCTATATCCTAGTTAATTGTGTAGTACTAGAAACAGAAATGCTTGGAAGCAGTCATCCAGGGTACAAAGCTTGGTTTCTATTCTGTTGAAGCAGCAGGGTAAGAGAGAGTCAGGAATGGAGGGAAAATGTGTGGCTGCTTGCCTTCATGCACCACCACCTCCGCTGCCCTGACATCAGAAGAATGGAGCCATATTGAACACCTTCCCACTCAGTGATTGGGATGTAATATTTTTATCTATTTATCGAAACTTTATTGTGACTTGAGTAAAAGCTTACAGAGCAAATTGGTTTTCCATTCAATAATGTATACACATTTTGTTTTATGACATTGACTGCAATCTCCACAATTTAATAGCACCCCATTTCCACTTCTTTCCTATATGTACCACTTCCATTCCTCCTTTCCTGTCCACTCCTGCCTTCCAAGGCTAGTCTCAGAGTATATAATTGATTGTACTAAGGTGTGCCTACCTGCCTGGTGTTACTGTTCGTCCTATGAGCTTGTCTTATTGTTTGGTTAAAAGCTGAGCTTTGGAGCAGGGAACTCGATTCTAGACCTGAGGAGTAACTAGAAGTAGTCTCGGAGTTCCCACCTGTTACCTTCAGCCCAGTATGCCAGCATCATTTGTTGAAAAAGACTGCCCTTCCCTCGTTTGATGGATTTTAGCCATTTATTTGTGGAAGACCATGTCCATAAGTGGACAGATTTACTTCTGTGTTCCCAATTCTGTTCCATTGATTGAGGGGTCTGTTGTGGTAACCTGTGAGTCTGTCTTGACTTCTGCAGCTATATAACAGGTTTTGAAGTTGAGAAATATGGGACCTCCTGCTTTGTTCCTTTTCAGTAATGCTTTTGCTTCTCCTCAATTCCTTTCCATACAAAGTTCTCTCTCACGGCTCTCAACTTGTTGCCAACTCATGGCAACCCTGTAAGACCGGGTAGAACCGCCCCTGTGGGTTTCCAGGCCTATAACTGCTTGTGAGAGTAGAAAGCTGTGTCTTTTGACCTCAGAGCTGCTGGTCTCCAACCGCTGACCTTGTGGATTGCAACCACTAGGCCACCAGCGCTCTTCTCCACGTAAAGTTAGTGATTTTTGGTTTGTTTGTTTTTCCCCCCATCTCTTTAAAGAATGTTGATCTCTGAATCAGGATTGCTTTGTATTTAAAAATCACTTTTGAATTATGTAGGCATTTTTGTAATGTTAAACATTTCTATGGCATATTCTTCTATTATGTAGGCCTCTTAGTTTGCTTCAATAGTGTTTTGTCGTTTTCTTTGTAAAAGTCTTAAATTTCTGGTTAAATTTACACCTAAATATAATTTTTATAACTATTGTAAATGGTATTGATTTCCCTATTTCGTTTTCAGAATTCACTTTGTTGGTATAAAATAATCCAACAGATTTTGTATGTTGATCTTGTAGTCTGCTTCTTAGCTAAATCTTTCGATTAGTTCCAGTAGTTTACTTGCTGAGGATCCAGGATTTTCTAATCTTCATATCTTCTATGAAAAAGGGATCGTTTTACTTCTTCCTTAGCAAATTGGAAGCCTTTGTTTCCGTTTCTTGCCTTATTGTCCTGGCTACGACTTCCAGTACAAAGTTGCAGTGGTAAGAGAGGACATCTTTGTCCGGTTCCTGTTTGTAAGGGGATACTACTAAACATTTGATCAAAGATTCTGTAGAAGAATCATCATCAAAAGGAGATGATGCAGAAAGATTTAAAATTCTTAGGAACTATAGATTCTTGGAACCATAGAAGGTTGGAAGAACCCCTTGAAACTGTTGACCAGGAGATAATCTTTAAACCTTAAGCTGAAAATAGCTCTTTTAGTCTTCTTAAAACCAAACAATATTGGAGAATGATGAGGGCAATGAATGTACAAATGTGCTTTACACAATTGATGTATGTGTGGATTGTGATAAAAGTTGTCGGAGCCCCTAATAAAATGATTAAAAAAAGCCCCAAACAATAGTTGAGCTTAATTTGCATGAAGTGTCTGCCTTGATCACAATGCTCTTTTAAGAACTATCTATAATGGTCTCAATTGCCAGCAGCAGTTTGAACTGAAAGAGCAGTGAATTTGTGTTAAAGGCAGAGGAACAACTTAGAATTCGAAGGTGAGAACGTTTGTACAACTAGAAGAATGGAATCAATATCATTAACTGGTTTACATTTTGCTAGTAAGGTTTTGAACAACAACACAAATATATGTTTTGGTTGTACGACTTTGAGCACATTCTAGCAGGCCTGTGGAAGGAAAAAAAAAGGCAAGAAAGGAAGGAAAAGAAAAAATAACAACATAAATCTGTAGTTAGGGATGAGAATTTCTTGTCCTTCTGTGTAACTCTGCCTGGCTTTCATTTTTGACAGTTTTTTGTCTCGCCTAATCTGGCCACTTTTGTTTTGAGTGTTGTGCCTCCGATGTCCATCCTTGCTGTGGTTTATGGACGATACCTACGGAAACTGACCAAAGTCACGCAGGACGCCCTGGCACAAGCCACTCAGGTAACGGCCTTCCCCATCTTCTGAGCTTCTGGATAATAGGGCCAGCGCCACATTCCGAGGAGGCGGCCCCCAAGGGATAGGCTTAGGCTCTCCAAGTCCTTGTCCTTCCTTCCTCTTTCCTCCGATCTTGGCCTTTTAGACCAGATCGTTGCCCACATCTCCAAGTAGATCTAGCTTGCCTGAGCATCTGCTCAGTCCACTTATCACCACTATTTTATAGGACACAAAGCTTCCTATGTTTGAAATAATTTTTTCATTTATTTATAAGGCTAATTTTGTAATGCTGTCCAATACTGCCTTTTAAAAATATTAAAAGCGACTTATATTTTCATGTTACAAAGGCTATCTGTTTATATTTGAATCGTTTGAAAATGTAAATAAGGAAAAAAGACAAAAATGTATATAATCCTATCTCTCAGAGATAATATTAAAATCATATCTTGGAATCTGCGCTTTAAAATCTTCTACTACATGAAATATATTTATGTATCTGTCTTCATTACTATTGATCTTTCTACCTACTTATATATATACATAATTTTTTAATAAAAATATGCTTTGCCTTATAGTTTTCTTTTTTTAATTTGGGTTTATGTCATAAATTGCTTTCCATTGGTATTTTGTGGTTGTTTTATTTTTGGTAGTATCTTTAAAAGAAGAATCCTGTTTTAATTTTGCCTCTTGAAACTTTTGAATGTAACTTCTCACATTTACATGTACTCATTCCTCAGCTAGCTGAGGAACGTATTGGAAACATAAGAACTGTTCGGGCTTTTGGGAAAGAAATGACCGAAATGGACAAATATACCAGCCAAGTGGATTATGTGATGCAGTTAGCACGGAAAGAGGCCTTTGCTCGGGCTGGTTTCTTTGGAGCAGTAAGTATACCATTTTAAAGAATGAAAAACGCAGATGCTATGATGTACAGTGAACCCTCGCCACTTCGCGCTTCGACTTCCGCGGCTTCACTCTATCGCGGTTTTTGCGTAACAGCGCATGCTCTGTCATTACTGCCACTGATTGGCTCATACTGTACACGCTTCTGTCTGCATCGCTACGTATCGGAGCTACGTATCAGATGCATTTTTGCTTTTGTACAGTGTACTGTAATTGTTTGCGATTTTTAAGAAATTTTATCTAAGCCCTATGATGGCTCCTAAACGAGCTTCTTCTTCTAAGCCTTCTGACAATAAAAATAAGCGCCAGAGGAAGATGCTCACCATCCAGGAAAAGGTAAAACTTTTGGATGTGATCAAAGATGGCAAGAAAATCGTGGAGGTTGCACGCCATTTCGACTTGAATAAGGAATCCTACTTCACGGAATTTCATTTATCACAGTAGGGTCTAGAACAGATTAACCGCGATAAACGAGGGTTCACTGTAATTTATTCTGTGGCTCTGCCATAAATAAAATAATTTTGTTCTACTTCAAGACAAAGAATTATCGTCTTTAACATATCTTTATTATAGAAGAGGATCGAGAGGTGGGGCAACCAACTGTGAGATAGGGCACTGGTTCTCTGAGTGTGACCCAAGCTCAGTGGTACCAGTACCACTCACCAACTCTGCTTTATGGGCCTTATTATATATGCTTTGATCAGTCCTTGGCCATGCTGATGCCCAGAAACGTGTGACAACCACTGAGGAGTAACAGAAACACCCTTAGTGAGTTTCAAGAGCAAAGTAGGAAATACTGGTCATAATCAACTCAAATCCAACACTGAACTAGAAAATCACCATATGGGCAAATTTGTACACAATATATTCAAGCTGGGAAGAAATATAGAGGCAATTCAATAATTGTCATCATTTAGCAGATAAGGAATTGGAGGCTCAGGGAAAAGGCACTTGTGACCACCCACACATCTACTGAAAAAAACAAAACCAGATCATAGCAATAAGAGTCTAATTTTGCAGCCTGGTACCTTTGTCCAGGATATTTCATTAAAATGTACAGTTCATTTAACTGACATCTGTTTCCTTCAGTTGAGGAAGAAACCTTTACTGTTTTGTCCTTGGTAAATTGAGTAGATTAAGAAAACGAGGAGATATGACATAATAATAATAATTTATAAATTATCAAGGGTTCACGGGGGAGGAGGAGGGGAGGGGGTAGAAATGAGCTGATACCAAGGGCTCAAATAGAAAGCAAATGTTTTGAGAATGATGATGGCAACAAATGTACAAATGTGCTTGACACAATAGTTGTATGTACGGATTGTGGTAAGAGTTGTACGAACCCCCAATAAAATGAATTTTTAAAAAAATGAGGAATCTGATGGGTGATTGAGCACCTGTGTTTTCATAGCAGTGAGATTATTCAATATTATAATTTTTCAAAAATATTTATTTTAAATTCAGATTGGATCTAATATTTCAGAAAGATTATAAAAGTTAAAATAAGAGTAACCTTCATGAATCCCACTTTCACGTTGATTCTCCCTGACTCTCTCTTTCCTTCCCTCCCAGGTGGGGCTCTCTGGGAACCTGATTGTGCTCTCTGTCCTCTACAAAGGAGGGCTGCTGATGGGCAGTGCCCACATGACTGTGGGTGAACTCTCTTCCTTCCTCATGTATGCTTTCTGGGTTGGACTGAGCATTGGAGGTATAGAATTTAACTGGACTTTGGGAGGGTTTCAAATGAAAAATGACGTATATAGTAGATGAAATAAAAACTTTACTCTCTCATACCTTTAGACCAAAGTTTCCCTTAGCGGGTAATACTGCCCATTGATATGATTTTTTGTTTTGGGTCTTTGATGCCTGATGCCTGATACTTGATCCTATCGACACCTCACGATCACACAGGCTGGTGTGCTTCTTCCGTATGGGCTTTGCTGCTTCTCAGCTAGAGGGTCACTTGTTTATTTTCAAGCCTTTAAGACCCCAGACACTATATCTTTTCATAGCCGGGCACCATCTTGCAACTTCCTACTGAGCCCTCCTTTAACTCTCTTCCCTCCCCCTCCCCCATTCTTCATCTCTTTAGGGTATATACCAAGTAGAGAGACTGCAGGATCTTAGGATATTTGCATGTTCATTTATTTAAGGAAGCACCACACGTTTAAGGGTTTCCACAGTGGCTGTACAAACCTGCAATCAATCCACCAGCAATGTATGGGCATTTCTATCCTTCCACATCCTTGCCAGTATTTATTCTTGTCTTTTTTAATCATGTTTTGGGGAGCTCTTACAGATATCATAACATTCCATAGTTCAATCACATCCAGCAATATTGTACAATTGCTACCACAATCAGGTTCAAAACAGTTTCTTTCTTCTTGAACTCCTTGATATCAGCTCCCCTTTATCTCCTCCCTCTCTTCCCCTCCCCACCAGGAACCCTAATTTATTTATTTTTGCCTTATCTCACACCATCCAATATGTCCATTCACATATATTCCCCTCAAGTGGGATTATACAGTCATCGATGCTATCAGTTCACCCTACACTCCCCTCTTCCCATACCCTCGGGGAATCATTACTCCTGCTATTGTGTCTGAAGGGTTACCGATCTTGGTTTTCATGTTTAACTATCCTAATTATACAAATGAACATATGAAAATCTAACATGATTAATTAGGTAAAACAAATAAAAACCATAAAAGTAAGGGGAGGAAATATTAAAGAATGATAGGATAATTACGGATGTGTTTCATCAGTGCCATACCGCACCCTGGATTCATCATCCCTTCTGTGTAACCCTTCTGAGAGGGACTGTCCAATTATCTGTAAGGTGGGTTTTGGGTCACCACTACATCCACATGCCTTGAAACTTTTGATACCTTTTCCGTCAACACCTCATGCTCACACAGGCTGGTGGGCTTTGTTGCTTTCCTGATAGATGACTGCTTGTTTAACTACAAGCCTTTAAGACCCCAGATGCTATATCTCTTAATAGCTGAGCACTCTCAGCTTTCTTCACCATGTTTGCTTATATACCCATTTTGTCTTCAGCAATTGTGTTGGGAAGGTGAGTACCATACAAATGCCACACTGTTAAAACAAACCATTCTTGTACTTAGGTAAGATTTAAGTAGAGGCCCTAAGTCCTCTGCTTCCTTGTTATATTTGCATGTATATACACATAAACAAATACACCTATGTATATATATTTACATATGTACATATCTATATATTTTTTCTTATTTCTTCATTTTCTGTCCTCCTTACCCATTATTCACCTCTCAGTAATAGTTTCTTTTTATATTTTGCTATTTCTTCTTGTGCTATAGGTCTGGGGCTGATAGCAGGAAATGAACACTACCCTTGTCGAGATCCTGGTTTTCAGATTGGCTCCTGAGTTTTTAGGGAGTCTAGGCCAGTAACAACACAAGCAACACCAACTGGGAGAGAAGAGCCAAGACACTAGCCACCTGCCCAAACTGTATTCATTGACTTCTCTGAGCAGGGTCCAGGGTCTCTGTAAAATTACTCTCCTCTAGGCATTTGCCCACAGACTCCGGTGCTACCTCTTTGGATACTGTGTCTATGGAGAGATGAGGTTCAGCCACTCCTGTGCTCATTTTCCCCGGACAGAGACTCACCTCATTCTGCACTACCACCCCCAGGGCAGGTTCACCCCTTAGTATCCAGGGAAGTGTTACCACAATCTAGTCCCAAGATTTCCAGCCCTGCTTGAGAACCAGTCTCCAGCTGATTTTTGTCTCTTCATTCTGCTCAGATAGGAGCCCTGGGTACGTAGTGGTTATGCATTGGGCTACTACACTTGCAAGGTCAGCGGTTTGAAACCACTAGCTGCTTCACTGGAGAGAGACAAAGGTTTCTACACCCATAGAGTTACACTTTCAGAAACACATGGACAGTTCTAGCCCATCTTATAATATCACTATAATTGGAATCAACTCAATGGCAGTGAGTTTGGAGTTTTTGCTTTTTCTGCCCTCAATGCAGTGAGCCAGGCTAGGACCCTCTCAGCACTAGGGTACGAACCTGTGAATTTTCCCACCTGAGTTCAATCACATTTGCTTCTCCCCAGCACAGACTCACCAAGCCCACGTATGTGGGGAGAAGTCTTGGTGTCCTCGTGGTGGTAGAGGGGTAGGGAGAAGAGGCAATATGTCCGCTCACCTTTTCCTCTCCTCCACCGAGGTCCAGGGGCACTGGGGGAGGGGCTGCCCTCCAGGTGTCCTGTTGAGGTGTAGCACATAATCCTCTGCTTTTTTGTAGGTTCTTCTGCCTGTCCCTCATTCTGAAACACAAAGATGTATTTGGTAGAGGTCTTTGTTCTTCCTGGGAGCTCCAGAACTCAGGTTCTTGAGTCTCCTCCTCTTTTCCAAAAGTTTTGTTTGAAGAGGCAACCTTCACACAACCTTCAGAATCCCTGGTGCTATTTCAGTTCAACCTGAATGCATTCTATTCTACATGAGTATCCGTGTGCTCTAGGAAGAGTAGCTGAACTGAAATTGCCTATCATTCTTACTTAGGGAAAATGTTACAAATATGTTCTCTTACTTATACATGAACCATTATCTGGAGTTTCTTTATATTGCCATCAATTAAATCATTGTTCATTACTGACTTTAGAAACAAATTGCTGGATAATTTAGTATTACAAAATTCTTTCTCATTTTTTCCCTTTTTCCCTCCCTTTCTCATTTTTTAGCATATGCATTTACTAGAGTGATTTGACCTATGGATCTATCCTTAAGATAAATATCAGGGCATTTTATATTCTTTTTCACTGTTGGGTAAGCATTATACTTCATGGTGTTAGGGTCTGTGATAAGGGTACTAGCTATAGCACTGTGATTTGTATGGTTGACTAGTAATGGCTATATGTAATTGTAAATTTCCTGATCAAAATTTAAGTACATATTAGAAATCAGAAATTGAAGGAGGTGAATCTGAAAGAAAACATGACATAAAACAAAGAGTCCTGAATATAGATTCCCAGATAGCTGCCTTAAATTCAGTATGGGAAATAACAGGTTTAATATTAGAAGTAAGTGATTGCTTCTTGGGAGTATCAGGAGGCCATTCCCTGGTGTCTAAGGATATTTGTTGATTTTTCTGTTTCTCCCCAGGCTTGAGCTCTTTTTATTCTGAGCTGATGAAAGGACTGGGTGCTGGCGGACGCCTCTGGGAGCTCCTGGAGAGAAAGCCCATTCTTCCTTTTAATGGTGGGTACTCCAGGGGTTTGTTGTCCTTTGCTGGGATAATTGTGACTTTGGTTCATTAGACAGCCTTGTCCTCCATGTCAAACATAAACTGGCTGTGGGCACTGGACATAGGGAAAGCCTCGCCTCAGCTTGCAATGGATTGATTCCTTGGCTTTCATAAGTAATAACGTAAAATGACTCTCTGCCATTGAGTCAGTTCTGACTCATAGTGACTGTCGGACAGGGGAGAACTGCCTCTGGGTTTCCAAGACTGTAACGTTCTACAGGAGTAGAAGGCCTCGTCTGTATTTCATGGAGCAGCTGGAAGTTTTGCCCGACTGACTTTGCAGTTAGCAGTCCAATGTGCAAACACTAAGCCACCACATGTTATCAGGAGAAACTAGTCCCTGGAAAAGGACAGCATGCGTGGGAAGTGGGTGGGAAGTTCAAAAGACGAAGGCTGTCAAGGAGATGGATTGACACAGTGGCTGCAAGAGTGGGCTCAAACATAAGAGTAACATTGGCAATGGCTCGGAGATGGGTGTTCTTTTGTACCGAGGGTCACTATGAGCCAGAACCGATTCAACGGCATCTAACATCAACAATTATTAGTCACCAAATACATTAGAGCAAATTATTGTCCCAACTCTTACTACTTCAGAAAGTAAAGCACAGCTTCAAGGTAAATGATTGTGCATCGGGCCAATAAAATGGAAAATGTATGACATAGGGGTGGGCAGGGACGTGGGAGGCTGAGGATGAGAACACCTGAAGGCTGCATGGCGCAGGTGGAAGGAGGGTGGTCACAGAGGAAGAACATTGCTCACGCATTCCAGGGCCCGAGGGTGTTTCTGGGAAGAACAGGGGTTGGCCCTTGGTGGGCTTCCTAGTATGTATCTCCTTCTGATGATCTTTGAGAGCAAGATAAAGTGAATGTTACCCCAGGCTAGCCCACCAGATTTATCTTTCCTAGTAATTTTACAGTTTGTTTAGGGCAGTTGTGTGGAGAGGAAGCAACAAGAATCATATCTATAAGAACCTCTAAGTTTCCTAGCATTTGGGGGGGACCAGGTAGTGTGTTGGTACTAATTGACTAGAGCTAGCTCCTTCCTTAACTCTTCTATGAGCCAGTTAAGCAGGAACTTGGACCTACCCCAACTAGCTAAGCCTCTGAAGTGATAGGGTCGTGGCCGCTCCCCATAAGTACTCACTCCTGGAACCTTGTTGATTAACCCCAAGTCAATAAGCCAGAGCCTAATATTGTTCCAGTGTGGCTGATTCTAGAAAATATGCCTAGGTGAGACAGGCTGAACAGCTTCTCCTCAGTTACTGCTAGGGCAGAATAGATGTCTGCTCTCCCTGCTCCTGTGGCTTTGTGAGACTCTTACCTCTGTACCACACTCCCCTCAAACATTGGGTGTAGGTTTGCTGCTCAGATAAACACTGAACAAGGAAATGACGTAGAGTGAGAAAGTGAAAATGAAACTGGATTTGAAACTAGACCAATCCGGGAGCAGACCTAACTCGGCCACTTGCCGGCTTGAGCGAGTTGTTCAACATCCGAGCCTCAGTAAGGTTGGAATAGTGATTTTGACTGCTTATGGCTGCCCTACATAGCAGGTGCAGAGCAGGCTCATGTAGACATTTGGACACAGGCCTACACCCCGACTTGCTCATTAAAAACCCGTGCTCCAAACCTTAGCTGTTAATGAGCTATTCATGTAGACGAGGGGGAGATGATTTGAGCTCAGCTATGAGTTTGCCTTTTGCTTTAAGTGATTAGTATTTCATCTTACATTTCAGAGGGAGCGCGTTTACATGAGAGAGCCTTCCAGGGCACTTTGGAATTCAAGAAAGTGCATTTTGCCTACCCGGCCCGCCCCGAAATGCCCATATTCCAGGATTTCAGCCTCCTTATCCCATCAGGATCTGTCACAGCGTTGGTTGGCTCTAGTGGTTCTGGCAAATCAACTGTGGTTTCACTCCTCCTGAGGCTGTATGACCCCATTTCGGGTAAGTTTCACCATCTTGTAAGGCAGGGAGACCCTCTACAGCCCTCCTCCTGCTCCTGTACCCTGGAGAAAATCACTTGTGAAGAACAAGAACCTTTCAAATCAGAATTCTAAATGCCAGCGGGTTTATTCCCAGCAAAGAAATCCCTTAAAGGAAAAGTGTCCCCTTTTAGGGTGTGATGGCCAACTCTTATCTCTAGAAGTTCAGAGTCAGTTCCTGATTTCACCTCCTCGTTTTCCCTGCTAGAAGCTGGGCAAGAGTGCTGTGCTTGGTGCCAGGCGGTGTGCCACTGTCAGTTACACTGTTGGCATTCCATTGCTGGCTACAGGAGTGCCATCTCAGCTTTTTTCTTCCTGGAAAATCTGTAAACCCCAGTATGACCGGAAGTGTGGCTGCCTTAATGCATGTTTCTCTTTCTGTGCCCTCCCCCACTTTAATTATATCTTTAAGAGCAAGGAATATATTTTACTTCTTTTTATTCTGTTCACAGCTTAACACAAGGCTGTGCCTGGAGTAGATGTATGTATTGATTTCACTTTGGACCGAGAAAATGGTTTGATTTCTTAGCAAGCAGAGAACTGCTATTAAAAAACAAACCAAGAATTTATGAAGAATAGATTTTGTGGTCTTTGCACCCTGTGCTTTTGGCTCAAATCTACTGAAAAATTATTTAAGCCAGGGGATCACCAATTGTGTTAAAATGGGGTTTACAATACTGTCTCTGGAATCATTTTCTTGTGTTTACTTCCTATTAACAACTCTCAATTAGATGGTTGCATATGAAGTCAAAAAATTGAATGAATCTAGTTTCTTCATCACAGTAAATATATCAAGATGGGAACTCACACTTTAATTTCTGCCACGTTTACCTTTAACGCTAAAGGTTGCTGTTCCAGTCAGAGATTCCTAAGTTTTCCTAGTTGATGAAAGCTTACAGCTGGCATGTCCACCTGTAAACTGCTAAGGAAGAGGAAGGGGAGCAAGTGAGAATTGCCCACGTCCTCTGGCCTGTGCATCCCTTCTGGCATTTCTTAACTGCCACTGAGCACTTACTGAGTATCTGCAATGTGTAGAACGAATTATTTTATCCAAAATCACAATGTGAGGATCTAATTACTTAAAAGCTCTGCCCCTGGATCTTTTTGAGATTACGAGTTGATGACAGCAGATTCCCTTCTAAATATACATAGAAAGGGTATTTTAAGAAGTAATAAAAAGCTAAAAAATCACAGAGAGTGTTGAAACTAATAGGTTAGAGCTTGTACTTCCCGGACGTTTCCCAAGACTTCATTACAGAAGAAGGCTCGCAAGGTAGTTGCTGACCTGACATGGTGAGGAAGCAGCCTAAATAGCCCACCACTGGCACAGGTGCCTACTTCAGCACTGTGCCATCGCTGCCAACCCATGAATCCCTCATAACTTGTCCCTTCCCTACAGAATTTTATTCAGGATCAAAGGTGTGCTATAACTCGGAATCCAAAGGGTTGGATGCATTCAGCAGGTAGTCATCGTGGATAATCCAGAAGCCCCATTTTGCTGGAAAATCTCATGAAATAATGTTGCTTTAGATTCTGTTTAGAGGTTTTGAGATACTGTAAATTTTTTTAAAAACTGAGTCTGGAGTTTTCCCACCAAATGCTTCTATGTGTTTCTATTAGTTTCCATGAAGCTCAGTGATCTTTTCTTTTTTCGTCTATAAGGAACGATTAGCCTTGATGGTTGTGACATCCGTCAGCTGAATCCTGTCTGGCTGAGGTCCAAGATCAGCACAGTAAGTCAGGTAAGAAAGGGAGGGTTCCATTATCATTACACATTTTTTGTGTGTGCTGAAACCCGGGACTGAACCACATTACACATTTTAAAAATATCGCATTGGTCATTTGTTTTCTTCTTGGGCTCGAACCTTTCAGGAGGGGAGGAATGGAAGTTTTCCAGATACAGTAAATTCATTTGGAATGAATGGAAGGCTGTTTAAGTGTAAATGATGGTGCTGTTTTTCTAAAGACATTACGCACTTTAGCCAATCGAAACACTGACTGTTTTCCTTTTAAATCAAAAGCCAGGGAACAGCATTGCTTCATAATACAGTCTAGAAAATGATAGACTGATTCTATGATTCTATAGCATACTGAGTCTTCCCGTTTCCCATTTTCCTTATTGGCCAGCGTATTGTTTTCCATAATGGGTTTCAGGGATTTGCAAGTGAAGATTAAATGAATCAGGAGTCCTCTTTTCAAGTTAAGTGGACAGTGAACAGACCTGAGCCTCCCACCATCTCTACGCCTCATCCTTCTACTTAGTGTCCTCATACCTTAGCCTCACCCACTCTACTTCTACTGGGTGGGAGGTGGGGGACAGTGGTGAGGGCCACATCAGCAGGGGAAGGGTATCAGTGGTGCTTATGGTTTAGGAATGAAGAAAAGAAGCTGGCATCTCTTTTTAGGACCATTGATAAGAATTCTGTCCAACTGTCATGTTCCCATCAGGCTTGTATATTTGAAAGCGCATGAACAGAACTGGATTATGTCACCCCTGCCCCCATTTCCCTGTGCCTATGTACCAGGGCCTGTGGTAGCTCACTATCGATAGTGTGGTGGGAACTACGTACAATAAAATCAATTCCATTCATGGTGAAATAGGAAGTTACAACAAGTCTCCCGGGTACATGTGTGGAGACGCGGGAAGCTAAGCCAAGAAAATGGTCTCTGTTCTTTGGGAGTAGTTTCTTAGATGGAAGTGCTATCCATTAAGAGTTGTTTGAAGGCTCCATTAGAGTTGTTTGAAGGCTCTTTGAACGTTTATGACAAAGAAAGTTTTGTTTACAATTGGCAGGAACCAATTTTGTTTTCTTGCACAATTGCTGAGAATATTGCTTATGGCGCAGAAGATCCGGCCCTGGTGACAGCGGAGCAAATAGAGAGGGCAGCGGATGTGGCCAATGCAGCTGCTTTCATTCACAATTTCCCTCAAGGATTCGACACGGTGGTTGGAGAAAAGGGTATTCTCCTCTCAGGTATGCTTCTCCGACTGCTCTGGAGCAAATGTTTCTCCACAGAACCCCCTGAATGTGTCCAGATTGCAGAGTTATTTTCTAAGCAGGATATCCCCCCGAGGGTTTTAGAATTATTCTCAACTCTTCCTGACACCTGCCCTTCTGCCCTCACTTTCAGCCCCATTCCCACTGCAGCGTTTCTCTCTCGTGAGACAAAGTATGCGTTGCAACCCACGGTCCTCAAAAATATCAGAAAACTAAAATGATGCCGGATGGCAAGATGATCTGTCCAGAGAGACGAGGACTCTGAGACAGAAACGTAACAGCCTTTGAAGGAGACTTTACTCTCCAGCCTGCATTTTACACACTAGACCGGGGTTGGGGTTGGAGTTGGGACTTCCATATTTGGACCGTGGTGTAGTTGCCCAGGACCAGATCAATGGGGGAACTCAACAGCCATGTTGAGTCTCTCCTGTTCCTTGGGATGGTCAGACTACACCTAGCATGTTACATCCCACGTTAAGTACCATATTTTCAGAAACTGTGTATTGTGTTAGAGAGCAGAAGTTGAATCAATAAGTAGAACTGAAAGGAAACGTTTTAGCAAAACCCAAATGTTTCTTCCTTTACAAATATTAACATGTGTTTTCTTCCCAAATTGTCTGCCAGAGCAGGAGGCATCTCTGTCAGAGTGATGGTTAGCAGGGTAGATTAAGAGACTCATGACCAAAAAAAAAAGATACTCATGAGCCATTATCCTTCCAACTCTAAAACTTGGTGTTTGTTGTTAGACTATAGGGAATTTAAAACAAGGATGACTTAAGTCTTACTTAAATTTTGTTATGTGAATATTATTTCTTGTATCAGAGAAAGTGGATAAAAAGATTTTTTTTATTGATATGGGACATTCAGGAGAATCATACAATGTTGTGTAAATGCTGTGTATCTCTCTCTGAAAGCCACCCTGAGGCAGGATACCAGCTCTAAGATGAGACCATTGAGCATAAAGGTTTAGGATCTGCAGCAACCTGTGGCTTGCTCTCTTAGCCCTTCACCTTCTCCATTGGGACTAATTACTTCATGCTTTTCCATCTAGCAGGATTCTCAAGTTCATTTCACAGTGACGTAACCAAAGTCACCCCTCTATGCTAACTTCCTGGGAAAAGAAGGATATGTAGCTGTCGATTCCCAGGGCACCACTGTCAGAATGGATCCCTCAGAACTTATCAGAATCATGAGCTGGCTGCTCTCTCCATTCAGACTCGCTCAGCAGTAGGAGAGTTTCAGAAAGAATTGCTTTTCCTGTACTTAGCCTCATGGTGTGCACTGGCTTATCTGTTTCACAACAATAATACATATTTCAGTTGTTGACAGTGAGCTTTCCTTTTAGCCCAAAGAATATGATATCCAGCAATAACTATTCGTATGCTTGCCCAATAACATTAGTTTAAAAGGAATGTTTGTATCATCAGAAATGGAGTTGGGTTTTAAAGCAACTTAAGTTGGGAGCAGTGCGTCCCGGGTGCTGCCCTCTGAGACATTTCAGGTTGTAATTTTGGAGCTGTGTGACCTTGGGAAATGAAGGAAGGAGGGTATTAGAAACAGACAAGGAAGGGACACTATCATCTTGGTGCGTTTACCTCTATTTTATTATCTAACTTATCCCGTTTTCACCCCATAGTAGTTTCCTTTGCTCTCAGTAGAATTTGAGTTTAAGGTGGGTCAGATGTTAGAGCGGTTTAGTCTAAACCGCCAGTCTCATGCATGCCCATATCCTACTCTGTGTGCGGATCTGCAAAGTCGTCTGCTAAGGGACAGAAGGACTTGAGAATGGAAGCCGTGGGGAGGAGTGCTATGTAGCAGGATGGGAATTTGGTTCCGTCCATCTCAAGGAGTGTCTGGAAGCTAGTTTGAGTTTCTGGTTTCTTTGCTACATTGGGTAGTCTATTAGGGAGATCAATGTAGCCCTTCACACTGCCTAGATGCAAACTTTGGTTCTGCCACTTACCAATTATATGTTATTTTTTCTTTGGGCTTCACATTTTCATCTATGGGAACGGTTAAGGAATCTGCCACATCGGATTTGTTTTAAAGATTAAATGGAATAATACATGTTGAGTTTGATGGGGGAGACTATTTTTAAAAAATAGCTTGGGGGGGGGCGCAAAGGGGGGAGAAGGGCGTTGCTAGCACTGATGATTGTATAGCCCCCCCCCCATGGGATTGAACAACAGAACTGTATGGGAAGGTAAGGGATATACCGGAATGAGTAAGATATGTCAGTAATAGCATTCCTTGAGAAAAAAATAGTGTTCTACTTTACCATGTATGTCTTCTTTGGCTGACTGAAAGAAGTAACCTTTAAATTGGCATATGCTTTAACAGAAAAGCCTATACCCAGAGTTTTTGTTAATGCTTTAACTTTAAAAAAGAAAATGTCTTTGTCAGGTGGGCAGAAACAGCGGATTGCAATCGCACGTGCTCTACTCAAGGTGAGTCTTTAAGCCACTTGGGTGTTTTGTTCTTTTTTTTTTTTTAATCATTTTATTGGGGGCTCTTATCACAATGCATACATGCATCCATTGTGTCAAGCACATTTGTACATCTGTTGCCATCATCATTTTCAAAACATTGTTTTGATTTCTTAAAGCTAGAGTAGTAAATTTTTAATTTACTTTTTTTGTAATTTCCCTTTCCTCTTCTTGGGGCAGGAAGTGAAAAAGAAGGGGGAGATTCGGTATAAGGTTGACACTTTTGGTCTCATTGAGGGCAATGTTGACATTGAACAAATCTGGTACCGAGATTGTCAGCAAGAGAAGTTTTAACACAGGCCTCCCATTACACGGCATATAGTCTAATGGGAAAAATAGTGGTTGTTTACCAGAATAATTAAGTGCTCACACGTGAATCATAAAGAGAGAGAGCCATTTTAACTTAAAGTCATAGGTATTTGATTTTTTTAAGAAACAGTAGACTTCTCTATAATTAGTCTGCAGTTTATGTTTCTATGTGGTTTAAAATATCTCCATTGAAGTATGAGTTCTAGACGATAAAATCTCTCTCTATAAAATAAAATTTCTTTAATAAACTTTATAGAGTCATCCAATTTCAGAGCTTTTTTTTTTTTTAAGAGCATTTCTAGCACCCCAAAGAGTTCGTCCTGCCGTTATGCCCTGTTCTGATTCCAGCCCACCTCTGGTTTACTCTCTGTTTCTATAGGTTTGCCTTTTCTGAACACTTCAGATCAGCAGTATGAGACAATGTATTCTCTTCTGTGTCTGACGCTTTCCCTTATGTAAGATTTTGTTGCGGTTTGTCCATGTTAGCGGAAGGAGCCCTGGAGACACCAGGTTATGTGCTTGACACTAACCAAGAGCCTGATGGTTTGAATCTTCTCAGGGTCCTGTGGACTAAGACCTAGTGATCTGTTCCCACAAAGATTACGGCCAAGAAAACCCCCTGGAGCAGTTCTGTATGGTGTGGGGTCCTTGGGGGCAGGAATGTGTTTGACGCCACCCCATGACAACAACCACGCTGTAGCATCGTATCCCTACCTTAACACTTAGTGCTAAAGAGTTTGTTGTTGTTGTTGTTTTTGTTAGTAAAAACTGTATTTTTTTTTCCCCTTCAGAATCCCAAAATTCTTCTCCTAGATGAAGCAACCAGGTGAGGATATCTTAATCATGTATGTAATTGTTTTAAGGCAGGATTCTTCCTTTGCCAAAACTGTTAATTCTGTAATGCAAAGTAATACAACTGAAAATGCCCCCGCCCCTACAATGCAGCTATTGAATATGAATTAATAATGATGCTTGGAAGACAGTAGAAGGATTGAGTTATAATTAGAGGATGCTTTTTCTAATTCAAACATGTTCTTGATGAATCCTTAATCACTGTAATCAGGCACTATGCCGAATACCTTTCTATTTATATGACAGTTTTATCAAGATCAAAGAGTCCCAAGCTTCTTTCTTATATATTTTTACTCAAAAAGTTGACAAAAGTTTGACCACGGCAGTTCACTGTGAATGAAGCCCCTTTCAGAGCTGTAACCAGAAGCACAGCGGGAGAGAGTGTGCCTGACACTGAAGTCTGCTTTCTTGTGTTCCTTTTCTCTAACAGTGCCCTGGATGCGGAAAATGAGTACCTTGTACAAGAAGCTCTGGATCGCCTCATGAAAGGGAGAACAGTGTTAATTATTGCCCATCGTCTGTCCACTATTAAGAATGCTAATATGGTTGCTGTTCTTGACCAAGGAAAAATTACTGAATGTGGGAAACATGAAGAACTGCTTTCAAAACCAGATGGGATGTACCGAAGATTAATGAACAAACAAAATTTTATGTCAGCATAGTGAAATAGTTGACTTGTATTACTTCTTTATGAAATTGAATGAGAATTGAAAGCAGAACAGCATTTCAAGAAAAAAACTGGAAAATATATGAAATCTGTAATCAAACTTCATTTCCCCAAATGTATAAAAATTATTTTGAAATGTACCTGTCCTTAAGACCTTTTTATTCAGAGTTTTAATAATTTTCTAAATATCTATAGCACTGAAGTTATTTTCAGGTTTTGTATTTTACCTTGGAATATTATAATTAACATAAAATGCCATTTCATTTTATTTTTCTTGCTGTTATAGATTGAAAACTATTGTCAAATGACAACTTTGAAAAGGGGATTATAAGTAAAAGCCTAATTATTTTAGGCCGCATTACTAATCGCTGTAAAATTCTCTTAATAGTATTATGCCCACTTTGTGTCTAATGTTACTTGGTAGATTTAAAATTGGCTTGCGTCTAATCTTCATGCAAAGTGAAAATCTAGCCCTCTTTTAAAATCCTAATCTCATGAAGTGATCCTAATTAGCATATATAAATAGTTTACATTATTAAGTAGAGAGCAGAGAAATTTTACATTGCTAGTATGTGTCTTAAAAGGTATGAGAGTTTAGGGATATGTATTATGGGATGTGATTGTGTTTGAGTGCATGTGATTTTCAACATTGCTGGTACATGTGATCCTAATGACTGTTTAAAAAGAGAAGCCTTATTCATCACCCAGGAAAATGTCTTCTGTGTTTGCATGTATGTGTTCCTGTTTATTTTGGGAAACCAGGATTGAAGTGCCAAGTCTTAGCAAGATAAAAATTAATTTTACATTTAATTTGTCTGAAGGCATGTATTTAGAAAAGTATCTTTTAAAAGTTTCTAATTCCCAGGCAAATTGAACTTTACAGCTTATATGCTTTTGAAATTTTACTCAGGGATGCTAAAATCTGAATAATATAACCATAATTTTCTATTTAAAACATTTGGAGAAAGTTTAGAAGTTCTTACTGTTCCACAAAGTAACCAACCAACCATAAGACCTTGTTACTCTCCAGAAAAGACAACGTGAATAACACTTTTTTAATGGTAACAGTTTTATTCACCTCCATGTCTCAGAAACCTTAAAGCAATGCTGATGACCATCGAATCACCCACATTTGGTGTCATTGCTGTTATTTTCAGGCTTTGTACTGTTATCTTGCTGTTCTTTTGTTGTCACCAAGGAATGATGCCAAACTCTTAAGTAATTATGCTCATAAAATTAAAATGGCAGTTTTCCCAGGTACTAAGGAATCTAAGGAGCCCTGGTGGCAGTGATTAAAGTGTTTGAGGTCAATCAGTGGTTGACCATCAGCTGCTCACTAGAAGAAGGATGCTGTGGTCTGCTTTCAGAAAGACTGACCGCTTTGGAAACCGGTGGGGCAGCCGACCCTGTGTTCTCGGGTCATTCCGAGTCATAATCAACTAAGGCAAAGGGAGGGGGTCCTAGTGGTCCAGTGGCAAGTGCTGTCTGAAAATCTGACAGCTTCAATCCTCAAGCCACTTAGTGGGAGAAAGATTTGACACTAGGATCACTAGGAGTTGTGGACTCATTCATTCCCTAATCAGACTGGCCAAGGAAACCACTATGTCATGACAAACACTGACTTATTTCATTCTACCTATAGATGTTTATTGATGAATAAGATAAATTGAATGAACGAATGAAGTCAATGTTCTTTGCGGTAGTACATCTCTGACAATCATTCTAACAAGCTGCATTCTTTGTGCAGTGTACTACTCTGGTATTCCAAAGGCAGACAACCAATGACCAAGCTGAGTCTTGGGGAATCTGTTTGTGCCACAGAAGTAGTTACAAATTGAGTTGGATCACTATATGTATTTTTTTCTAATGCAAGATGTTTTAATTTTATTTCTAAGGGAAATTTTATATCATGAATTAAAATTTATAGTGAATTTTATTTGTGTCTTTCACTTCTTATAAACATTTTTATGACAACATTCAGATTTTCATTAGAACTTGTGGAGATTCAGGAATAAAAGATTCAGGGATAGTACAGCTATAGAAACATGCCTTGTAATTCCAATTTCTACTCCTTTCCTCCTTGCTGAAAATAGGTACTGTCCTCCATTTCTTTGTTATTTGGAAACAGCTCCCTACTTGCTTCAATCCAGTACATATTATGCCCCCATGTTGGACCAGGCATAGTAAGACTATGTGCTGTGGAGTTGATAAGAGATGGATAAAGCCATAGCACCTACTCTCAAGGAGCTTATAGTTTAAGAGCAGAGTTAAGGTCGGTAAAAATTACAAGGGGAAAAAGTGTTATTAACACTGTGTTTTCATAACACTTTTGTTTCCAGAGTGTTTGCATGTTACCAGATTTGGCCTTCTTGTTTTAATGGGTGAAGGCTGGCAAAGGACATCAGTTTTCTGTTGAACAATTCATACATATTTTGATTCATCATTGATTGCAGTCCCCACAATGTAACAGCACTCATCTACTTCCACCCTGTTTCCCCATTCCCATTCCTCATCACTTCCACCTTCAGACTTACGGCCTTAGAAACCCCTGAGGCAGCTCTCCCCTGTCCTAAAAGGTTGCTATGTACAAGAACATGTATAATATTTTAGCCTGCATAATTGTTTGATATTTTCATAATTTGCTTCTCAAGTAGCTCCTTTTAAGTATCTTAAAAATCAAGGCTATAAGACCCAGAATAAAATCATGCCCAAGGTGAAAGGGGGCGGGGCATGGAGTGGAGACCCAATGCCCATCTGTAGACAATTGGACATCCC